CTTGAGACTTGACGACATTGGATCCAGACTCGACCTTTGGGATTCAGACATTTCGACGAGGGACTATTTGGGCCTGTGCTGAACACTTGGTGTTGACGACATTCCCATCTTCCCCTCTTCTTCGTCTAACCCCCATCTCCTTCGTCTGTGTATGGTTGGGGCTGGCGCAGTCTTCCTGTGTGAAGCGCCAGACCCCTTCACACCATGGAATGATGATGATGATGTATGTTAGGGGCTGCATTGCAATATTGATTGTTCGGATCATTGGTATCTAAGTCTTCCGCTGTGCTATCTTATACTTTGTATTGAAAGGTCGGTTCTTGTTCTGGTCTGCACCTATACGGTATGCAACACTCTCCCTCATGACTGGGCTCCCGACCGCCTTCCTCTTGCTTAGTGTCTACCAAGTCTGAAGGATCAATCTCCTCCTGACTCCCATCATCATTGGTGTACACCCCACAGACCTTGATGAGATGCTCTACTTTCTTTGCATGCAGCCGAAAATGCAGACTGAGAACCCGCGTGGAGAAACTGGCATGGTTGTCATTCTTTTCTAAGTCCACTTTCTCCTCCATCAAGGAGTCTTTGAAAAACGCACGGCCTGCTAGCGTTATCGTCATTCTTTTCTAAGTCCACTTTCTCCTCCATCAGAGAGTCTTTGAAAAACGTACAGCCTCCCAGCGATACCTGACCTCTACACCCTACAGTCATCAGGCTGTTTCAGCCTCGTACTCATAGACTATAGGAAAAGCTATTCTCAACGCAAGTCACCCTGTTCCTACCTTCCACCGTTCAGCAGCTAATTGGGTGTATTTATGACAATTTATACCCGAGAAGACATACAATAAAAGCAGTTAGCCTATGCAAGGAAAATGAGCAATAGCGAAAGGACAAAATTCCAGATTGCAAAATCTTGCCTGCTAGTCGAAAGCTGTCCAGAAAGCAAAAATGCACTGAAATCGCACTGAAGGAGAACCAGAGCAGCGAATTCAATTGTCAGTGAGAGCCCTCTCTCACCACCACCAACAATGTACTCGAAGCTCTTCCTCCAATCGACGCTCAGTGCCCAGATTACTATCATACAACTACTGTGCTAGTCTAACAAAATGACAAAGCAACCAGTTGACGTCAGCAGCAGCAAACGAAGTACATGCAGATGTTGACCATGCAGACCTCCCCCAGGACCAGGTACGTGCTCTCACATTACTTCCCTCACACATCTCATCACCATTCCCTAGAACCACCGCCAATCCCTGCCACCTATGTCTGCCGAGACCCAGCTATGGGGGCCCAGGCTATGGCGCGGCTCGCTTGCAGCACCCAACAACACTCCACGCTCATGCGCGCGTCGCAAGTGCGAGCAATCGCTCCAGGAGTGCTGCCGCTTGCACAGGCAAGTGCCTGAATGCCCAACTCACGTCCAGGCACTCGCTATATGCGAAGTGGCCTGGCCCGGTGGCAGCCTGGCCTGGCCTCGCATGTGCCCAGTAGCTTCAGTTTGGGTCCAAGTGTCTGTGCTTAGGCCCATTTAGACAGTAGCCTGGGACCGAATTGGTTAGGCCTTCCCAATCACTCGAGCGCAAACGTGAGGTGTTCCCTGCTTCCACTGCATTGGCAAAAGAGCTTGAAAGGCTCACAAATGTTTCTGATTCTCATGAGCAGGGCGGATGTGAACAACTGGCGCATGGCAACTACGTGGCGCCCACCAAGGCTTTGACAAATTCAGGCCTCGTTGAGATTCGGGGGCCCGCCTTCACTTAGGGCAGGCACGTGCTTGCTATAGGGGCCACATGCTGGTATGCCGACGACTTAAAATCCTCGCACTGCCTCCTTCTGTATTTCGATAGTGCTCTGAGAAGGCTGTTATCAGCTGGCTGCTTCCCTTTCAGTCTTCTTTCATTCATATCCTGAGATAAGCTGCGGAGCAGTCTTCATCAGTTCTTCTCTTGTGAACCAGCGATCTTCCTTCGGGTCAATGTGATGCCTGAACCGGACTCTATACTGCACTTGTGGCTTAGGCGGCCGTCCCCTGCCCAGAGGCTTGGGCACATGCATCACCTTGTGCTCTATGATATCGTCAATGTCCACGTGCCCGTCCATGGTTGGGGGCAGCATAAATCTTCGTGAAGAAAACTTGTCGGTCTCATCGAAAGGAGCCAATTTGGAGCATGGATAACAGAGTACACAAGATCTCGTTCCTGGTCAGTGACGAGCTGCCATTCGATATGTTGCCAGACATGTACTACCTCGAGGTTGGTAAGTCGCAGTCTGAATAGGATAGGAAGGTGATGTTACACAAATTGCCAAATGGGAGGACCGTTAGGTTGCAGAATTTTAAGGCTAGCAGACTAGTTGAGTCTATGATTGCATGTGCACGTCAGCTTTCTATAATTATCACAAGTGAAATCGCGAGGAGGGCACGTGCCTAGTCTTTGTCTCTGAGAAAAGGGAGGCCATAAAAACGCCCCCAGAGATAGAAGCAGTCGTTGCTCAATATCCAAACCTTTTTGAGGAGCTTGGGGGCGTAGTGGAGAGGGAGGTAGTAAGGTACCTTGAGGGCGGATATACAAGATGTATCTTGCAGAGTTAGATGAACTTCGCCAATAGCTCAAGGAGCTTAGAGTGAAGGGCTGGATCCGGTCTAGTACGTCCCCCTATGGTGCACCAGTATTATCTGTTCCCAAGATAGGGGGAACCTTGAGGATGTGCATTGATTATAGGGGCCTCGATGCCATCACAATTAAGAATGTTGAGCCCATACCTCGCATCGACAACCTCTTGGATACAGTGCAAGGATGTCGGTACTTCAATAACATAGATCTAAACTCCAGATACCATCAAATTGCAATTAGGCCCGAGGATCAACACGTAACCACATTTCAAACCAGCTACAGTCTGTACGAATTTGTGGTGATGCCTTTCGGTCTTTGCAATGCTCCTAGAACATTTCAGCACGCGATGAACATGATTTTTTATGACTACTTGGATAAGTTTCATCGTCGTGTACCTTGACGACATTCTTATCTTTAGTAAGACTATAGGAGCATGCTGCGCACCAAGATCTCGTACTTGGTTCATAAATTTCAAAGGATGGGTTGAGGCCAGATGATGCAAAGGCAGCCAGCATACATTACTGGCCTAGACCTCAATTTGTGACTGAGGTGAGGTCGTTTTTGGGGATGACGGACTACTACCGTCCGTTTGTGAAGAACTATAGTACTATAGCTTCCCCATTGACTGACCTCACGTGCCTTGATACGCCCTGGGAGTGGACAAACGAGTGTGAAGCAGCCTTCAAGAGAAGTACGCCCTCACGCACCATGAAGTCTTGAAGCTTTTGGATCTTGAGAAACCTTTTGTGGTGACCACGGATGCTTGTCAGTATGGCATTAGCGCGGTCCTTGTGCAACAGGAAGGGAAAAAGTTCAGGTCGATCGAGTACATGAGCAAGAAGATGCCATCTCAAAAGCTAGCTAAGTCCACTTATGAACACGAGCTCTATGCCCTATACAAGGCGTTGATTCGTTGGAGGCACTACCTCCTTGGCAGATTTTTCTATGTTGGATCTGACCATGAGACTTCATTGGATCAAGGCGCAACATGCTCTCTATGATGCCCTGAAGCAATGGATCGAAGTCATTGACTTGTATGACTTTAATTTGGACCATCTTAAGGGAGAGTACAATAAGGTAGTAGATGCTTTTTGTCTAGAAGGGCAGATTATTTGGGCGCAATAGTGACAAAAATTGGTATATCCAACGATGTGACTCCCTCCATGGTGGAAGCCTGTCGGGAGGACCCCATCATATCCGAGATCATGCGGAAACTTGAGGCCAAGGATAAGGCCAGATCCGATGAGTTTGTGCTAGTTGATGGCTTGATGTTCCTCGAGAAGGCCGGGAATAAACGATTATGTGTCTCGTGTAGAGAGTCTGTGCGTATTTTATTTTTAGGAGAGTGTCACGACGCCACTGGCCATTTTGGGTACAAGAAGACAACAGCAAACTTAGTGCATAAGTTTTGGTGGCCCACGATGATGGATGATGCGAAGAAGTATGTGGAAACATGTCAGGTTTGTCAGCGTGGCAAACCAAGGACGCAGACTCCGCTTGGGCTTATTAAGCCCTTGCCTATCCCTGCTGGTCTTGGTCAGAGTGTGTCCATGGACTTCATGGATTCTCTCGTGACCAGCAAGAGTGGAAAAAGGCACATCTTCGTCATTGTGGACACATTCAGCAAGTACGCTAGGTTAATTGCGATGCTGAGACAATTGTTTATGGATAACTGGGTGCGTGACTTCGGTCTTCCTAAGTCATTGTTAGCGACAGGGACATCAGATTCACAAGTGAACTGTGGCAAAGCACAACCCAGCAAATGGGAACCCAACTGCAGATGAGATGAGGGAATTACCCCGGGTCAATGGCCAAGCTGATCAAATGAACTGGGTAGTGCAGGAGCTGCTCCGACACTACATCAAGCCGAGCGAAGATGACTAGGATGAGAAGTTGCCTCGCATTGCCAGCATGTTCAATAATGTTGTGGACAACACTACCGGCATGACTCCCAACCAGCTGCATCTTGGTTGGAAGCCCAGATCAGCGCTTGATTTTCTGTTCCCTGAGAACCAGCCCACAACAACACCTGGCAGCATTGAATTTGTTGTAAAGTATGACAAGATGCTGCAGCAGGCTGTTGAACACGTTCGAAAAGTCCAGGAAACTATGGTAGCTTCCGAAAACAGGCACAGACAACCATTTGCATTCCAGGTAGGCGAAAGGGTATGGGTTAAATGAACTTGCGTCATATGAACTGGGACAGGAACTGGGTATATCTAGAAAACTCATGCCACCGTACTTTGGACCTTGGGAAGTTTCAGGCATATTAGGGGATCAGCCAGGCGGATCTTCATATGTCATTTGAATCCTCGTACTCCTCCATAGGAGAAGGTACAGACTACGTCTTGAACATAGTCCCTAACAACCATAGAGCGCTTGTTGGCTAGGGTGGACACGACAAATTTGCTAAGCCGCTGCACTTGGTCCCCTAAGCGCAGCCTATCCACACAAGCACAATTGATGAAATTCCTCGTAGAGCCGATGTCTGCGAAGGCTCCTACTTTACGGCCGCCTATATCGACTTCTACCACAAAATGTCACCCCCAGGGCCTCTACTCGTCATCGCCCAGGAGTCTCTAGGGTCTTTCTCTAACCACTCAATCTCCTCTAAAGACACAACCATCGAACATAGTATTGATTGGATAGGACATGTCTGCAGGGTGATGTTAGGGTCAATAGCCTCGACCAATGTGAAGTGGAGAGGGTGAGGCTACCACTTCAGGCCGAGTAGGAGCAGCTAAGACTCCTACCGACCCAATGTGTTTCCCTGGGAGGTACTCACAGATGCACCCCCCGAGGTTGAAGATCCCACAGTCACCATGCTGGAGGGAACCTTCGTCATGACCCGCTTACTCTTGCAGTGGGCAATTGTGTGCCCATATTTGCCACAATTTACGTACGCCCCTCGAGTGTATTTGTCTCACCACACATCGTACTGCAGACCCTTGGGCCGACTGTCCTTTTGTTTTAGAGCCCCCTTAGCCTTTTCTTTAATGGGAGCTACTACTCCACCCTCATAAGTCTCTGTGCGCCTTCCACCTTTGTTTCTTCCCCATGATCAGACAAGTCTTCAATCTCCATGCTGTTGTCATCATGGCCAACAAACATAAGATTGCCATTCTTCTTCCAATCTTGAGGAAGCTTCTTCTTCCTCCCATCCACAGCAACATCATGCACATTCCCGAGTTTGGCCTCTATGTCTAAGGCCTTCTTGCTAAACGAATGGAAATTGTGTACCTCAATGGAGGCCTCATTGACCAACTTGTTCTTGACGTTGGTAGGCAGACATTGCAAGTAGCTGGTCACGAGGACGGGGATCATACCACACGCCCGGGACAACGACCAAGCGCTCCACAACGTCAGTCACCTCGCGAACAGACCAGTACCTCTTAGATCCCAGGTTTGCAAGCGAGTCGATAGCCTTCTGCGCCTCCTTAGGGTGATGCCGCCTCTCCTGAACTAATTGTATGAACTGCTCCAAACTCCTGGCTTGAGCCCAGGCGTCAAAGTTCTGACCGTATCCGTGCTGCTGCACTAACTCGTCTAACCATCTGATCCTTCTAAAAAGGATGCGGCGACGATAACCTCCTACTCAGGATTGAGAGCTTATGCCCCACATGCGTTGGCACTTCCCTCAACCATGTGTTGAAGCTTTGTTCCTTTTTCTTGTCGCCGGAAAAAGGTTTAGAAGTGAGCAACAGTATCTTTGGCGTCCATTGCGCTTGTTGCCCAGACGCCTGTGCCTGCTGCAACGTTGCTGCTGCAGCACCTGCTGCAAAGGTTGCTGGACAACGGCTGCCCTGTAGCTGCAGCCGCTGGATGGGGGACCAAAGAAGATGATCCCAGAGCCTGCCCACTACTACGTGCTTGTGTACCACTTGGTGGAATGATGCGACACTCGTGGTTAATGGGTGGTTTTATAGTGCTCTTGATTTTTCTTTTCCATTTCTTTTTGCCTGTTTGGTTTTCTGATGTTTGTATTATGAGCCTGCATAGTTTGTTCGCAAGATTTTCAACGACATTGCGTGTAGTGATGCGACGAAAAACCCCGAATTTCGGGTCTTCCATTAACCATCTCTCCCTCCCTCAGCTCCAATCTGGCCTTTCTTCTCATAGCGCTCTGTCTTCTCTCCTCTAAATCTCGCGTCTGGTGCTGTAACTCTGCATGAGAGGCATTTATCTGCTGGATCCCATAATCCTCTGGTGACAATGGTGGTGGCTGACCTGCAAGCCAACAGACTGGCTAACAAAAGGCCCGGACATACCCAAACTGGCACCGGACGAAGAGACCTGTGACATTGCGGAGGTGGTAGCCATTGCTGCCTCCGCTATGGCTCTAGCGTCTGCTGCTAATGCTGCTGCTAGTGCCTGCCTCCTCGAGCTGGTCTCCACAGTCTCCTTTCCTCACCTGGTCCTATAGCTCCAAGTAAGTGATCGGCCGACTAAGTGCCTGTCTAGGAGTAACTCTTCCTTCCTGTTCTAGTCCCTCAACCTCACTGTCATCATTAGTCATGAGCTACGCGCGAGTTGCAATCTGAACTAGTGTCCATGCTGGGACTTACCGCAGCGTGACACTCAGCCGCTTAAAAGTTAAAAATAAATATGCTGTCCAGAATTGTCAGGAAGTAGTCAAGCGGTAACAGCACATAGGTTCAGACCCCTGCAATCAATCCTATTCCTACTTTTGACTAGTCTAGAACAGATGCAATGCGGCAAATAATAAACATCTACTCTACCTGCAACAGTCTGTCAGTTGTCAGCAGTCTGTAACAACTAACTAATCAAAAATAAAAGTAAAATTATTTGCTGGAATGCATGCTGAACGGAAATAAAGCAATAATTAACAATCGAGCAGTTAACTGGAATCAACCCTCCCTCTCGATCCTTCTTGGCTCTGGTTGAGCAGCATGTCTAAAGGTGTGCACACGGCCCACCCCTGTGCCCCAGTTCAAACCGGCCAGCCCGTCCGTACTATTTTTATACTCTCGTACACTGCGAGTAGATTATCCCCACCGGAGTCTCTTTATAGATGGTCCGGTACTCGTCTATCCCCCATAGGGCTGGCCTTCCCAACATAACCTCGATAGTGAGACCGAAGGACAAAGCAGCAAAGCATGCGTGCTCTACTCCCATTGGGTTGGCATGGTGACCGTGACCCATGTGCTTCGTCCAGGGCCCTTCAGAGGCAACGCCCATCTCCCACCAGCATGCTCTCCAGGAAGAATGTCGACTCTCAAGGTTGAGCGCACATGACACCTCACAATGAGAGGACTCTCATCACCAAGACTCGCTTCCTCACGGTAACAAGTAACATAGAAGGTAGGTAAGGTAAGGAGCAACATACCTCATAATGCTGCCCCCAACCACAGAGTCCTCACCAGTTGACCTGACATGCGTTTATGATGACCTGTCAATGCCTTGGCACAACCCACAATACAATGCAGTTCCACCTCGGCTTAAATGCCATATCAGCAAGCTCTCATCATCCAGCGTACACCCTTATTTCACCACATAGCCTTTCTGGCACGCCTTCTCGACACAGGGCTGCCTAAATGACCAGCGCCATAGCAAGTTTCACTGCCATGCAATAGTGCGGCACAGCACTGACAAGCCAATGAGCTGGAGCCAGCGGAGCGGTTAGAACCAGCTTCGATACCAAATTATGAGGAAAATGAGCAATAGCGAAATGACAGAATTCCAGATTGCAAAATCACATTGAATGCCAGATAGTCGTAAGCTGTCCAGGCCCAGCTATGGAGGCCCAGGCTATGGCTTTGCTCCCTTGCAGCACCCAAGAACACTCCACGCTCATGCGCGCGTCGCAGGCGCGAGCAATTGCTCCAGCAGCGCTGCCGCTTGCACAGCCAAGTGCCCGAATGCCCGACTCACGGCCAGGCACTTCGCTATATGCGAAGTGGCCTGGCCCGGTGGCAGCCTGGCCTGGCCTCGCATGTGCCCAGTAGCTTCTGGTTGGGCATGACCCATCCGAGTGCGCAAGCAGATTAGCACGGGTGGTCAAAACCCATCAAGAGCTATTGATAGTTGCAAAAAGAATAACTTGGGCACCCTGCTGTCTGCCGCGGTAGCACCAGCTGCATCCCCACATCATGTGTTTCGTCCACCCAGGGCACTTCATGTACCACCGATCTCCTACCAGATGCACCAGAAGAAGGCAGGTTCTCAAGGACGCGCGTGCTTGCAAGCTCACAATGAGAGGGCAATCAAGTGATACACTCTTCCTCATGGTAAGAAAAAAAATGGACGGTAGATAGATAGGTTAGGAACACCCCCATACCAGACATAATATCACCAACTTGTGATGCCATATTTGATAACCAGTCATGCTCAGGTACGACTGACATGAAAACGCCAGTGTTGCCTCAAGCAATGGCAAGCGCCAATGTACACTCGTCATACTGCCACGTGATCGATACTTCTTCCACCCCTGCGTTCTCTACCCTAACACAGGACATACAATCCTACCTCTTGCTCTCTCTCTACTCTCTCACTGTCCACCTTCCTCTCGCCCTACAACGCTGTGGAGTCTGACCGTTACGTGTGTGCTCCTTGGCCGCTGCTGGGTAAGTCCACCTGTCCCATCACTGTCCTCTTCCCCTGATCGCCCAATCGGCAAGCACCCCTCGTCCATCCAGCACAGCTATGGCTGCTGCTG